ACAGAAATAGAACAAAGAATCCTAAAATTTATATGAAATAACAAAAGACCCAATAGCCAAAGGAATCCTGAGAAAAAAGAACAAAGCTGAAAGTATCACTCTCCCTGATTTCAAAATATACTACAAAGCTATAGTACTCAAAACAGCATGGTACTGGCACAAAAAGACACACAGAGCAATGGAACAGAATTGAGAGCCCAAAAATAAACCCATAATCTATGGACAGCTAATTTTCAACAATGGAGCCAAGAATACACAATGGAGAAAGGAAAGTCTCTTCAATAAATGGTGTTGGGAAAATTGGACAGCCACATGCAAAAGAAAGAAAGTAGACCATTATCTTATACCATACACAAAAATTAACTCAAAATGGATTAAAGACTTGAATGTAAGACCCGAAACCATAAAACTCCTAGAAGAAAACAGAGGCAGTACGCTCTTTGACACTGGTCTTAGCAGTAGCTTTTTGAATACCATGTCTCACCAGGCAAGGGAAACAAAAGAAAAATAAACAAATGGGACTACATCAAACTAAAAATCTCCTGCACAGCAAAGAAAACCATGAACAAAACAAAAAGACAACAGTTGGGAGAAGATATTTACAAACTATATATCTCATAAGGGGTTAATATCCAAAATATATAAAGAACTCATACAACTTAACAACAAAAAACAAACAGCCCAATTAAAAAATGGGCAAAGGATCTGAACAGACCTTTTTCTGAAGAAGATATACAGATCACAAAATGACACATGAAAAGATGTTCAACATCACTAATTATTAGGGAAATGCAAATCAAAACTACAATGAGATATCACCTCATGCCCATCAGAATGGCTATAATTAAAAAAACAAGGAATAACAAGTGTTGGAGAGGATGTGGAGAAAAGGGAACCCTCATACACTATTGATGGGAATGTAAACTGGTGTAGCCACTATGGAAAACAGTATGGAGATTCCTCAAAAAATTAAAAATAGAACTACCATATGATCCAGCTATTCCACTTTTGGGTATTTACCCAAAGAACATGAAAACACTAATTTGAAAAGACATTTGCACCCCCATGATCATTGCAGCATTATTCACAATAGCCAAGACTTGGAAACAAGCTAAGTGCCCATCAGTGGGTGAAGGGATGAAGAAGATGTCATATATATACACAATGGAATACTGCTCAGCCATAAAAAAAGATGGAATCTTGCCATTTGCAAAAACACAGATGGACATTGAGGGTATTATGCTAAGCGAAATAAGTCAGACAGAGAAAGTCAAATACCACATGATTTCACTCATAAGTGGAAGATAACAACAACAACAAACAAACACATAGATATAGAGATTAGATTGGTGGTTACCAGAGGGGAAGGGCTGAGGTGGTAGAAGGAGTAAAAGGGCACATGTGTACAGTGATGGATGGTATTAGTCTTTGGGTGGTGAATATGATGTAGTCTACAGAGAGACTGAAATATAATGATGTACACTTGAAATTTACATAATGTTATAAACCAATGTTACTGCAACAGAAAAAAGAAAGAAAGAAAACATTGTGCCACTTCTTCTAGCCTCCATAGTTTCTGATGAGAAATCTGCTGTCACTCAAATTGTATTTCCCCTACAGGTAAGGTGTCATTCTGCTCTGGATGTTCAAGAATTTTTCTTTTACTTACTTTCCAGATGTTAAATTTTGGTATATCTTGGCATGGATGTCTTTGGGTTTATCCTGTTAGTGGTTTGCTCACCTTTTTGATCCATAAGTTAATGTCTCTTGCCAAATTTGGGGAGTTTGCAGCCATTATTTCTTTGAGTATCTTTTCAGCCCTTCCTTCTCCTTTCTTCCTGGGACTCTGATGACATGAATGTTAGATCTTCTTTTATAATCCCACAGGTCCCTAAGGCTCTGTTCATTTTATTTTCAGTCTGTTTTCTCTCTGATGTTCAGGTTGAGTAATTTCTATTTTTCTGTCTCTTCCAGTTCACAGATTCTTTCTTCTGTTGTTTCAATTATGCTGTTGAGTTCAGCCACTGAGCTTTTTATTTTGGTTATTATATTTTTCCATGCAAAAATTTCCATTTGGTTCTTCTTATTTATCTTCTATTTCTCCTCTTCTTTTTTATTGAGGCCTTCTATTTTTTCATTTGTTTCAAGTGTTTATGTTTGTTGAAGTATTTTTATCATAACTGTTTCAAAAATATTTGTCAGAAAATTCATTCATTCAGATGTTATATCTTTTAGCATGATAATTCTGCAAGTGGTTACTGCACATTAACTAGTCTTTCCCTAGTCCAGATTTGGACTGATACTTAAGATGGTTTAGCAAAGGTGTGATCTTCTTATTTGCTTATTCTCACTTTACCCTGTAACCACTTACTACAGTTGATAGTATGTAAGTGTGTTGAGACAGTCAGACAAAGGATATATAAAACAGAAAAAGCAGCCATAAAAAATAAGATGTAAGAGGAAAAAACTATCAACTTGATAATGTTTAAACATGCAGTGAGATCATCTATTAAGAATGGTCTTGCTTGCTGCTCTCTTACTTTTTCATATTTCCATGTATATCTATATTAGATACTTTTGGGGAGTATCTGCCCCAGGTACAATTTGCCCTTCTCTGGGGACTGCCTCTAGATCCACAAGGGTAGGGCTTCATCAGCCACGTTTGTAACTATTTGACCTCTACCCATTGGCATGGTTGCCAATTGGAATATCTTTTCCTATAATTCAGAATTGGGAATGAGAGATAGTGAGTCTTGTAAGTGAAACTACTGTAGGGTGCAAATTTATGAGTTAAGATGTGTGAAAACTTTTCTGTAGAGAGAGAAAAGCAGAGACTACAGATGGATAAAGAGCCCTGGTAGCTTTCCATTCCCCAGTTCCAGTCTTTTCCTGAATCCTGGCTGAATTCCCCCTCCCCCTTGTTTCCATGAATAACCTTGTATTTCCTTATAATTCTTCCCCCCACCCTACACTACTTATGCTTTTTGATTAAGATAGCTTGAGTTAGTTTCTGTTACTTGTAACCAAAGAGTTGTTAATTAATAAAACCTACTATTTGTTTACACCTTCAGGTTCAGGCCAATCCACATTGAATGTATTTCTAGGTTCAAGGTATACAAGGAATCACTTGTGAAAATAATGACGAAAAATCAAGCTATGTCCTAATTGTCACCCAGACCCCTTGCTCATATTCAGATTCTCCACTTCTCAGCCTCTTTGCCTAGGTCAGTTGTGTTTTGTTATTAGTTTCTTGATTTTTGATTTTGCTGATATTATCATACTTGACGTCTTGTTTTTGTGGGTCCTTATTATTGATTTGCTTATCTTATATTAGCTGACCTATTAGATTCAATTTCTATTAGGCACTGCCTTCCCCAGAATGATAGCAACCCCATTCCACTGGAAACTGCCACCGACTGCCTATTTTTGTAATTTTATTGATTTTGGTATTATGCAATAAAGAAATACATATTAATAAACATTTAGGAAAAAAGCAAAAAGAGAAATATCATCTTCTGCCAATACTTTAACTATCCAGAGATAATCATTGTTGGAAATTTGTGCTTCCAGAGTTTTTTCTATGTATATATGGGTCTGAGTGCGTATAATATACACATATTAAATACATATGGTCTATAAATGCAACCATACCGAAAACTGTTCTGCAGATTTTACTCACTTATATATTGTGAACATCATTTCATGTTAATTAATATACACTTATAATATTTAATAGCTACATAATATTTCATTTTGTCAATGTACCATAATTTATTTAAGCAATCTTCTATTATTGGATGTTTAGGTTCATTTTTCTTTTTCTTTGGCTTTTATAAACAATACTGAAATGAACATCACTACAGAAATATTTTAGCCCTTACCTAGGTTTTTTTCCTTAGGATCAATTTCTAAAAGTGGAATTTCTTAGTCAAAATGAATGTAGATATTAAGGATTTTTCATTTATATTGTTGGATTGTCTTCTAGAAATTCTGTACCAGTTTATCTTACAACAATGCATGAATGAATTCTTCCACTGAGAGGCAAAAATGAATAGTATTTTGTTATTGTTTTAATTTTCATTCTTTGGATTTAAGCGAGATTGGATATTTTTAAATGTTCATTGGCCATGTTTTTTTCTTTTGTGAATTTCTGGTTCATAGCCTTTGCCCATTTTCCTGTTAAAATATTCATAATTTTATCACTGATTTGTATGTCATCTTTGAATATTAAGTATAATGGCCTTCTGTTTTTCATTTATATTATAAAGAGAAATGTCAAAGCATAGTGATGAAGGACTCTGGAGTCAGAATGTCTAGCTGGAGTTGAATCCAATTCTGCTACCTATTGCCTGTGTGACCTTGGACAAATTACTTAACCTCTTTGAACCTCAATTTCCTCATGTGTAGAGTATAAAATGTGTGTGTGTGTGTGTGTGTATAAACATAGAACACTGTCTAGCACATAGAAAGTACTTTATCAACATTTGTTGATAGTATTATATTTATCATTTTTTCTTGTCATTGTTTTACTTTTATTTATGTAGGTTTCCTTTTGACTTTAGTGATGGCTCTATTTTTTTATCTTTATAAGAAATCTGGTCTCATCTTTTCTACTTTCCTTTGAGTATCAAAAATAAGCTGAATTAACTCAAGTTAATTATTTCTAATTCTGGTTGTCACCTAGGATTATAAGGTTTAAACACATCTGATAAATCTCAAGTCAGGCTATGGTCACACTTTATTAATGCATACTTTATTCATAGATCCAAATTAATGAGTGGTTTCATGCAAATAAACAGTCAAATAAGGCTTGATAACCTACTCATTCACATATCCAACATTTTCTTATGACTTTGGGACCTTCTTCCTTTGTCAAATGTGGCTGCTACCATTTTTAAGAGCCTATGTTTGTTTCTTAGGATAATTAATTAATAAACCTTGCTTCCTTATAAAAAAAAATGTATTAAATAGCTAAGAATTACAAAATTGTATTGACTTACTCATGTTGGATTTGGAAGTTGGTTCTTGGATTGAATATCTGTTTTATCTGAGCGGTTCGCATGTTTTTAGTGCTTTCCATAATAGGGAGCAAATACTGCAATATTTCTTGAGTTTGAGCTATTCTTTTATCCCTGTAGATTCTTTTTTCATCATCTGTCCAATTTACTCCAGTCTTTTTGCTTTGGAAAGATGTACATTCTTTCATTTTGCTTTTTAAGTTGTGGTGCAGATCTGGGGAGCAACCACAAAGATATGTAGAGATATATGGACTGAATTGATTCAACAATTATTTATTCAGTATTACATGCCAAGGATTCTATCTAAAAGTTCTTACCCAGCTGAAGTTTATACTTTAAATACAGGGGCAGAAAATAAGCAAATAAACAAGTAAAATACATAATGTTACATAATGATAAAGTTTACAGGATAAAATAGAGCTGGGGAGGGAAATAGAGAATTCTTGGGAGAGGGGTTGATTTCCATTTTAAAAATGTGTTCAAGGGCCACCCTGGTGGCATAGTGGTTAAGTTTGGCAAGCTCCTCTTCGGTAGCCTAGGTTCATGCGTTCAGATCCTGGGCTGGGACATACACCACTCATCAAACCACGCTGTGGCAGTGACCCACATATGAAATAGAGGAAGATTGGCACAGATGTTATCTCAGGGCCAATCTTCCTCACCAGAAAAAAAAGCGTTCAGAGATGCCCAACCTGTGAAGCTGATATGTCAAAGGAGTTAGGGAGTGAGTCAAGCAGATATCAGAGAAAAGAGCATTCTAGGCAAGGGAAATAGTAAGTGCAAAGGGTCTGAGTGAGGGTCATAGTACTATGTTCAAGGAACACCAAGATGGCACAAATGGCTACGGCAGAATGAACTAAGGGGAAAGAAATAAGATAAGAGCTCAGATAGGTAACTTGGACTCAGTTCACATAGGGCCTCCTGGCCATTGTAAGGACTTTGATTTTTACTGAGTGTGAAATGGGGAGCAACTGGAAGGCTTTGAGCAGAGGAGTGTCACATATGAGATTTGTTTTAACTGGATCACGCTGGTTGCTGAGTTGAGAACAGATTGAATAGGGACAAGAGTAGACAACCAGGGAGATCTCTTGGAAGGCTACTGAAACAATCTAGGAGAGAGGGTGGTGGCAGTGGCTAGAAGGGTGAGAAGTTGGGAGTACGGAGGTGACCCTGGCTATACTTTCAGATTTTCTAATGAATGAGATGTGGGGTAAGAGAAGAGAGGAATCAGTCGAGGCTCCAAAGCTTCTGGTTTGAAGAAATAGAAGGATGGAGATATGAGCATGTTAGAGCCCATGGGAACATCATGTTAGAAATCCCTTCTTTATTACATAATATGAACAAATTTTTGTTTATTTTGTTAATTGTGATAATAAAAGTAGAATAACATTTTAAAAAGTGTTTATCAAACTGCTCTAAAAAATAAAGTCTATTAAAAAAGTGTTTATTCCACTCCACATCCATTAGCATGGCTACTATCAAAAAAACCCCACAGAATATAACAAGTGTTGGCAAGGATATGGAGAAATTAGAAATCTTATGTACTGTTGGTGGAATGTAAAATGGTGCAGGGGCTACAGAAAACAGTATGGCAGTAACTCAAAAAATTGAAAATAGAATTACCGTATGATCCAACAATTCCAGTTCTGGCTATATGCTCAAAGGAACTGAAAGCAGAGTCTTGAAGAGTTATTTGTATATCCATGTTCATAGCAGTATTATTCACAATAACCAAAAGGTGTAAGCAGCCCAAGTGCCCACTGATGGATGAATGGATAAACAAAATGTAGTATATACATACAGTGGAATATCATTCAGCCTTAAAAACGAAGGAAACTCTGACACCTGCTACAACATAGATGAAACTTGAGTACATTATTTAAGTGAAATAAGCTAGTTACAAAAAGACAAATACTGTATCTCTCTTCCAAATATTTGATTCCACTTATATGAGGTACCTAGAATAGTCAGGGGCTGGGGAGAAGGGAGGAATGGGGAGTTGTTGTTTAATGGGTATGGAGTTTCAGTTTTGAAAGATGAAAAGATTCTGGAGATGTGTGCACAACAGTGTGAATGTACTTAACACTGATGAACTTTACACTTAAAAATAGTTAACATGGTAAATTATATGTCATGTGTATTTTGACACAATTAAAAAAGATTCAGTATACATAGGAAGAGAGAGGGGAGAAAAAGAACCCTGAGTAAAGCCTAAAGGAAGACTCATAGACGTTTTAAAGGATGTGGCAGGATTAATTATAATTATAATGCCGAAATTGGTAGGTAGACAGCATAAGAAAAAGTAGAATACACTTAGAATAAAAGCAAGAAATACATAATGCTTTGTAAAAAAAAATGTTTGTCAGTTAGAAACATACAATGAACTATTTATGGGCAAAATGATATGATTTGCTGAATTGGCTTTAAATACTTTGGCAAAAAAAAAAAAAAAGTGGTGGGAATATACACAAGACAAGAATACCAGGATGCTGATAACTATGAAGGGTGGCTGATGGGCACCAGTGGGTTCATTATTCTATTCTCTCTACTTTTGTTTAGGTTTGAAATTTCCACAATAAAGCTTTTTTAAAAAAGGAATTGTCCATTATTAAAAGAAAAGGAAACAGATGACTAAAGGACTCATTGAATTAAGCTAGACTTGAAAGATAACAAATGAGGGTATGATTACAATATCTGGCGATGCCAGCAGATGAAATTAATTTATCTACAGTCTCTTGAGAAGCCATTCCTAGCCATTCAACAAACATTCCCTGAATGCTTACTATGTATCTGGCATTATGTTTGGTTTGGTAAATAGGTATGAAAAATATAGTCCTTACCTTTATATGCTAACAGTTAGGAATAGAGAGAGAAAAGTAAAACATTAACTAGAATATGTTTGGGGCTGGCCCCATGGCTTAGCGGTTAAGTGAGCGTGCTCTGCTACTGGTGGCCCGGGGTTCAGATCCCGGGCGTGCACCGATGCATCACTTGTTGGGCCATGCTGGGGCAGCATCCCACATACAGCAACTAGCAGGATGTGCAACTATGACATACAACTATTTACTGGGGTTTTGGGAAAAAAAAGGAGGAGGATTGGCAATAGATGTTAGCTCAGGGCCAGTCTCCCTCAGCAAAAAGAGGAGGATTGGCATGGATGTTAGTTCAGGGCTGATCTTCCTCAAAAAAAAAAAAAAGAATATATTTCTATGGGGGCCCGCCCTGTAGCCTAGTGGTTAAGTTCACGGGCTCTGCTTTGGTGCCCCGGGTTTGGTTCCCAGGTGTGGACCTACAGCACTAGTCAGTGGCCATGCTGTGGTGGCAACCCACATACAAAATAGAGGAATATTGGCACAGATGCTACCTCAGGGTGAATCTTCCTCAAGCAAAAAGATGAAGATTGGCAACAGATGGTAGCTCAGGGCAAATCTTCCTCAGCAAAAAAATATATATATATTTCTATGGAGATAAGGTAGGGTACTTACTCTAGGATTTCAAAAGAGGGACTACTAGCCATACTTAGCAATAGATAAGGAAAGCTCCCTAATTCCTAATTCCTAATTAATCTGAGTCTTGATGAATAAGTAAAAATCAGCTAAGTAAAAAAAAGGGGGTAGTAATCTAGGTTCTGGAACTAACGTGGCATATTCAGGAAATCAAAAGTATGGTTTAGAGTGACTAGAATATCAGGTAGGTGTGAAGAAGTGGTTTAAAACTAGAGGCCTTGTTTGTAATAATAACACTTTTGAGAGATTTCCCAAGACAGGAATGATTTGTGACTGGTAGATGCTTAATGTTTTTTGAATTGAATTTTTAGGGGGCCATTGAAGATTTTATGTAAGCAAGTGATATAATCTGCATTTTGGAAAGATCACACTGGCAGTCAGGAGGATGACAGGTGGAATAAAAGTGAGACTTGAGGCAGGGAGATAAGTTAAGAGGCTAATGCAGTAATTCAAGGTAGGCAAAAAGAGAATCTGAACTAAAGGAGCAGCAGTATGATGAACAGAAGCAGATTCAAGAGAATCTTCAGGAGTAGAATGGATAGAGTTTCTCATTATTGGATACCAAAAACAGAGATGTAGAAGATTAGGATGTGTGTTGGTTTATTACTCAGACAACTGGATGATGGCAATATTACTGACCAAGACATGGAATGCAGGAGGAGAAAGAGATCTGCAGTGGGCAAGTTGAATTAGAAGTATCTCTGAGGAAAAACAAATGGAGATATCCCAGAGGCAGATGAGATGCCTAGATTGAAGATTAAAAAGTACGATGATCATCAGTTGTTTTTTGAAGCTACAGGTATAGATGAGAGTGCTCAGAAATAAAGTATATGGTGAGAAGAGGAGAGACCAAAGGATGGCATACTGGGGAATAGCCCACATAAAATTTAGGCAGAGGAAGAGGAGCCCATGCAGGACACCAAACATGAATGGCCAGAAAAACAGGAATAAAACAGGGAGAGAGTAGTGCCACAGATACATGTGTTGAATTGCTCAATAAATCAAGGGAGAGAGAGTTTAAAGGCTCTGTGAATAATCAACAGTAGACAAGTCAAGGATAAGGACTGATGGCTTTGGAAATAACAATTTCATTGGTATGGTGAGAGTAGAAGCCAGATTGTAGTAGGTCAAGAAGTATACAGGTGAGGATGTAAAGGTAATGAATACTGACTATATTTTGATGAAGGTGAGAAAGGGTAGTAATTAGGATTAGGTCGCTGAGGAAATTGATGGGCATGGGATCTAGAGCACCAGTGATAGTAGAGAGAGTACACTTTTGGACTTCATTTTTTAAAATTTCAATATCCCCCCAAAGAGAGAGAATAGTATAAGGAACTCTTCAACCCATCACTCAGCTTCAATAATTTGATTTATTTTTGCTGCTATTGTTGATCAATATTTAGAATCTATCAATGGCACTCGAAGAAATATTTACAGATGGCTAACATGAACAACGTGTGCAGGTGAAGCACGTTCCAAAGAAAGAGGAATGATGCTGGAATGCCGTGACCTACTTTTGGGTGCTGGTGGTCTGGCTAAATAGAAGACTGGATACTGCAAGAGTATTGTGTTCGTGCTTACCAAATTCAAAGAAGAAATGATTTAGATATAAAACTATCTGCCAGGATTTATTATGAATTTACTCCTCCTTCACTCTCCTCAGTCAGCTGAATCTCTGTATTTGTATTATATCTCATCAATAAATATA